AACTTTTGATCCATGTCCTCTGTACTGGAATTGTAGGTATAATGCAGCCACTACAGGTTTTATGCTGTGTTGGGGATCAAACCCAAGACTTTCATATACCAGGCAAGTACTCTTCCAACTGAGCTCCATCCGTAGCCTAACCAGCAGGAATGCTTGTACTCCATTATTCTAATCACACTTTTTCCTCTTAAAATTAAAAATTTATTTATTTATTATCTGTCTATCTGAGGCACATTCTCTTTATGTAGCACAGGCTGTCCTGGAACTCCTTATGTAGACCAGGCTGACCTTGAACCAGAGATCCATCTGCCTCTGCCTCCTGAGTGCTAAGAGTAAAAGTGTGTGCCACCTTTGACATTAAAAATATTTTTTATGGCTTTAAAAATATATACTAAACAGCCAGCCATGGTGGTAGTGGATACCTTAGCACTCTTTTTCTTTTTTCTCCTCCTCCTTTTTCTTCTTCTTTTTTCTTTTTCTTTCTTTCTTTCTTTCTTTTTTTTTTTTGAGCTATTGTTTCTCTGTGTAGCCTTGGCTGTCCTGGACTCACTTTGTAGACCAGACTGGCCTGGAACTCACAGAGATCTGCTTGCCTCTGCCTTCCCAAGTGCTGGGCTTACAGGCGTGCACCACCACCGCCCAGTAACTTTAGCACTCTTGATGAAGGGGCAGGAGGGTCTCTGTGAGTTCAGGGACAGCCTGGTCTACATAGTAAGCTCCAGGACAGCCAGGACTACATAGAACTTTTCTCAAAAACAACTCCTCCCAAACAAACAAACAAACAAACACTAAAACCAAACAAAAACACCACCAAAGGGGGAAAACAAAAACAAAAACAAAAGAGAGGAGGTGGGAAATGCGTCTAGCTACTGGAGGTTTATTATGGAAGAATGGGAGAGTAGCTCTCAGGGAAAGGAAGTAGTTCTTGTCACACCTTCTCTACCTACACGCGAGGAAATTCTCAACATTTTCCTTCTGAAAGTTTTGTTTTTCTCATTTAGGTCTTTGTCAGAATGATGTTTTTCTTATGGTGTGAGTAGAGTCCAATTTTGTTTTAGTTTTCTTTCTTTCTTTCATGACTAACAAGTAGTTCCGGTGTGTACGGGCATGCGCACACGTACGTACCAGGGCCTCGTGTGTGCTCGGCCACTGCTTGCCGCTGGGCTACATCCCAAGCTCTCAGGTGTGCGATGACTGCTCTGCAATGTGACCTTTGTTGAGACATTTCTTGTGCAGAGGACTTTAATTCTGTGCCCCATTCGGTTCTGTTTGACTATCTGCCTACCCAGGTACTTTCTCACTTTCTTACTAGCTGAGACCTTGTTATGAGTCTTGATTTCTGGAAGGGCAGGTCCTTTGGGTGTTTTTCATTTTATAGTACCAGTGACTGAACCTAAGGTCTTGCATGTTCTAGGCACCTTACCTTAGCACTGAGTTCCATTCCCAGCCCATTTCTATTTTTTATTTTGAAACAGAATCTCACGAAGTTGCCTAGGTTGGCTTTAAGCTCACCCTGTAGTCCAGGTTGGCCTTGAACTTGTGGTTCTCTTGTCTCAGACTGCTAAGTGTTGCTCAGGCTGGCCTGGAACGCAGTGTCTAGCTGACGCTGGCCTCCAACCTGCAACAATCCTACTGAGGCCTCCTGAGTACAGAGATTATAAGTATGGACCACCAAGCCTAGCTTCTTCTCCTTTTCTTCTTAGCCAGGCTCTCCTGTAGCATTTCAAAGGCTGGCCTTGAATTTCTAATACCCCTGCTTCTACCTCCCAAATGCTGGGATTATAGGTATGTGCTATTATGCTCACTTAAAAAAAAAATTATTTACTTATTTTTTTTTTAAACAAGGTCTAATTATGTGGCCCTGGTTGGTCTGGAAATCGATATGAAAAAAAAACCAGAACCTACATGGTGGAAAAAGAAAATCAATTCCTATAAGTTGTCCTCAGATTTCCACATGCTCTCGGTGTCCACACACATTAAATGTAATTTTAAAAAAAGCTTTATTAGGTTCTTAGACTGAAAGACTCATTTCTATAGAGATGTCAAGTTCTCTCAGATTGATTTGTAGATTTAGTGCAATCCTGATAAAAAAAAAAACCCTCAATCTGTATGGCATTGCAAGGTGAAAATAACAGCAAAGATACAGCTGGGGTGAAAAAATGTAAAAGAACTTGCTAGGCCAGCTATCAAGATCTATTTGAAGGCTACTGTAATGTAAAAATATAGTACTGCCCCAGGGAAAGTTGACTTTTGATACATATCAGATGTTTAATTAGATATTTGATTTATGACAGAACTTCAGAGCAGTGACGAAAGGACAGATTTTTCACTGAGTGAAGCTGAGCGTACTGGAGTGTCACATTAAAGAAAACAAAAACAAGTTGGATCCGTTTTCTTTTCCTTATTTTTGTGTGGGGGTTTTGAGACAGGGTTTCTCTGTGTAGCCTTGGCTGTCTTGGAACCAGGCTGGATTAGAATTTAGAGATTTGCCCGCTTCTGCCTCCTGAGTGCTGGGATTATAGGAGTTTGCCACCACCTCTTTCTTTCTATGTATACTTGTCTGGCCTGGAGCTCACTATGTAGACTTGGCTGGCCACAAACTCTGTCTCCCTAGTGCTGGGATCAAAGACATGTGATACAAGGATCTTTTCTTAGTCATATGCAGTAATCAATACAAGGGCTGGGGATATGGTTGATGAGATAAAGGCACTTGCTGCCCGAAGCTGGCGACCTGAGTTCAGTCCCTAAGACTGAGGGGAGAGACCCAGTCCACAAGGATGTCCTCTGACCCCTGTGCATGCTTGTACACCACCACATATCCGGTACACACACATACGATAATCAGTGGTTGGAGAGGTGGTTTATCAGCTAAGAGCACTGGGTGCTCTTCCACAGGATCCAGATTCCATTCCCAGCACCACAGTGTCTTACAAATAAACCATTTGTGTCTTAGTCTGGGAGATCCCATACCTTCTTCTGGCCTTTGTGGGCACCGCATGTGCATGGTACACAGACATATGCAGGCAAGACATCTACACACATAAAAATAAAGACGTTTTAAATTTAAATATAGTCCAGACCAAAAATATGCAAATCTATAAAGATTTTGGAAGAGAATATTTTTTTCACTTTGAAGTAGAAATGAATAATTTAAGATGTAGAAATAAGTTTTTAGCCATAAAATAAGAAATTTGACTATATTAAAATAAATTTGCCAGGCATGATGGTGTAGGCCTGTAACCCAAGCCCTCAGGAGGCTGAAACTGAATGGCCTTGAGCCACCTTGGACTACATAGTGAGAACCCTATGCTATAAAAGTATAAATGGAGCTGGGGGCTGGGGAGAGAGATGGCTGGGTAGTTAAGACCACTGGCTGCATTTACAGAAACCCAGGTTTGATCTCCTGCACCCACATGGCAGCTCACAACTTTCTGAATCTATTCTCAGGGGATCCCCTGCCTTCTTCTGGCCTCCCCAGGTACTGCACAATATGGCACACAGATACACACGTGGGCAAAACACTTGCACACATTGGGAAAAAAAAATAGGGGCTGCAGAAATGTCTTAGCTCTTGTTCCTCTTCTAGAAGTTCCTCGGAGGCCACAAGAGGGTATTGAGGTCTTTGGAGCTGGGTTTCAAGCTGTCCAGTGTGCTGGGAACGAACCCTGGTCCTCTGAGCCATCTCTTCTGTCCCCAAAGTTTAAAATGTTGATGAAATCCACAATCTCTATTATTTTTCTGGCTTCTCATTTTGCTTCAAAAGAGTAGTTGCCGTTAATTTTTATGTCTGTTCCTGGCATTACTGGGAGAAGAAGAGGCGGAAGGAGACAACCTTCTAAAAGTCCTTCGCAGTAAAGAAGCAACGAGGACGGCCAGGAAAGTAATTTCAACCGAAAGGCATGATATGGACGTGGGGTGTGTGTGTGCCTGTGTACATGTGAAGTAACTTGCAGGAGACAGTTGTCTCCTTCCACCGTGTGGGGTCTGGGGTTCCAACCCAGGTGGATACGCTTGGTGGCAAGGCTATTATTGCTGAGCTATCTCAACCACCCCGTTTTTTAATTTTCTTTCTTTGCCTGCTCCTCTTCTTCGATAGCTATGTAGGTGAGGCTGAATTGGGACCTGTGCTCCTCCTGCCTCCATCTCCTGAGGAGCTCTGGGATTGCAGGCGTGCTGGTCCACGTCCGGCTCTCCAACTGTCTTTGAAAAGTACAAACACACTACACATCAGCGAGCCATAACTAACATTTCCAGTCTTACTTTGTGGGTAACACATGGTTGAGAATGCACAAGGTAGTCAGACCCTGCTGTTCCCGGCTTTTGCTTCAGGATAATTTCCTTCCTTCCAGCCTTCACTTGGGTGATTGCTCAAAACCCATGAACAGAAACCGGAAAACCCATTACCTCCCCCCCTCCCAGCCCTTTATCTATTTGCCTCACTTGTTTTTCTGAAGATGAACATCATTCTCTCACACCAAGAAAAGAATTTTCCTTAGGGACATTTAATGAACGCCGGGCCACTTCCCGTAGAAGCAGGAAGTGTACAGATGACTAAACAGGGCCTCTGCCACCGGGGGCTTGAATCCCTTCACGGTGACAGCGTGCTGGGCTCCGGGAGCACCAGCTGCCGCCCTCTTTCAGGGCAGGCAGTACACGCCGCAGAGGCCGCCCTAGTTGGGCTCCGGTGGCCCATGTGGTCCAAGTTAGGCTCGAATCCCGCACTCATCTGTGGCTGAGGCTTGGAAGGCAGCTCTTCCGGCGTCCCCTTCTCCTGGAGCCTTACAGAACAGGTCCATTTCCACCACTGCAGTAGCCAAACCGCTGTGAGGACTTGGCGCTCGGGGTTTCCGCTCTGCTCCTCTATGCTAAAGACCCCGTGCGCCCCTTAGCGGAAGAATAGGGGCGGAACTGCAGAGGAAGCACGGAAAAGGAGAAAGTGCCGCTTTAACGCTCACCTTCTAGGGGGCGGGGCTATCTTAGGCCTCGCCCCCCCTCAGGACTCCATTTCCGACGCAACCTGGTCCCGCGGCTCCGATTGGCTGGCTTTTGAGCGTGAGGACGTTGCGTCGCGGGGCGGGGCGGACGAGCGGTGTCTGTCAGGGCTTGAGCAGTACGCCCCCGACCGCCGCCCCCCTCCCCGCGGGTCGCGTCGTTGCCACCTCTCGCCCGGTCTGAGAGGGGACAGGTGACGGCCGGGGCTCCGGGTGGCGGCTCGGCCTCCCGGCCTCTCTCTCCAGCCGCCTCTCCGAGCCAGCCGCTTTCCTCGAGCGGGTCCCGGCCGGCGGAAGATGGCGGCCGCGCCCCGCGGCGCCTGGGAGCAGCGGCGCCCGGGCTGTGGGTCGGGACCCCTCTCCCGGCTGCTCGTCCTCGCGCAGGCGCTGCTGCTGCTGCCCGCCGCCCGGGCGGGCCCGTGCCCCGCGCCCTGCGCCTGCCGCCTCCCTCTGCTGGACTGCAGCCGCAGGAAGCTGCCCGCGCCCGGCTGGAGGGCACTGTCGGGCCCGCTGCCCCCCGACGCCGCCAGCCTGTGAGTAGAGGGCCCGCGGGGCGCGGTCGCCAGCCCGTTCGGAAGGGAACTGCCTTGGCGGAGATTGTGAACTTTTGGGTGTCAGGGATCCCCGGGATTCGGGTGAAGATTGGGGTTAAAAAAAAAGATAAAAATCTGGGACCCCACGGGGTCTGTACTGTTCTGGGTTGGAGATGTCTAATGTTGGACTCACGGGTCCTGAGCACAGCGGAGGCCCTGGGTGGCTGTGGGCCGGTTCCAAATGCGAAGCCCGCTTTGGGCTGCATCATTTTTGTGTTCCAGCTTGACTGGTCCTTGAACACGTGATGCAAACACGATATCTTCCAAAGACACAGGAGCTCTCTTTTGTCCCCAGTTCTGTAGACGCATTGTATGGTTCAGTTTGAATTCTTGACACGGTTGAAAACCTCATCATCTATAAGGAAGGTCATTGCTGACCCCTAATGTTTTTGTAAGAGCGATTTTCTGTAGCACTAAATTTAAAGAAGCGAAAGATTCTTTTTTTTTCTAGGCAAAGAACCTTCACATCATATCTCTTTGTTTATGTGTGAGAGTCCAATACAGTGGTTGAGTGGATTTGGGACTCTCTAGCTCTGACTTTAACTCCTGACAAACTTGTATTAGCTAGTGGCACTTGGAAAGCTTTGTGGTCTGAGTCAGTAGGTATTAAATACTGCAATTATGAGACTTCTTAGCCACCAACATACAGTTATATCTCTGCCACTAACTGAGTGACATGCTTATTAATTAACTCCTGGAATTAGCTCTGAAAAAGAGTTATCACTAGAAATACTTCGGGGTGTAATTAAAATAGGAAGACTGGTTGGGTTCTCATTGGAAATAGGATACAAATAGAACATGTGTATTGCAGAGGCTAGGTGTATGTTTACAGTACGTATTTATAGGATAGCATAAATAGGAAAAAAGTTAACCCATATATTCATTGGGAAAATTAGCAACTGCTGTAATTAACATAGAATTGGAATATAATAACACAGCTTCTGTCATTTATGGTGGTAATAGCTGTAGCTAATTCTGGTTTGACTCAGACTTGAGTATTATCATGTAGATAGTCTGAATTAAACTTAGCAGGTGTTTTTTTTTTTTTTTTTCCGAAGAAATTGTTGAGACTTGAGTATGATAATCTGAATCTGACATAGGTTTAAACACAGACTGACTTAATGTAATTGAAATAAGGATGGCCTACTTTTGAAGACCATTGAGGCTTCTGAGAATCTTGTTTAGCATGCATGAAACTCTGGGTTTGATCACTAGCACTGAAAAATAATAACTGCATTAGTTAGTATATAGAAATTAGAAGTAATGTTACCAAAGAAGCAGATTGCCAGAGGCTAACTGACAGTTTAGGGTTTTTTTTGTTTTTGTTTTTTCCCTTTTGTGTTTTGAGAGGAGGTACTGACAGATAGCCAGGATGGCATCTATCCTGCCTCAGCTTAGTGAGTGCTGCACCACTATTCCCTGTTTGCACTCAGAAAATTTAAATGTTTGGTGATGAAATTGACATTTTCAGTTTAAGTGAAATGCCCTAGAGAAGAGTTCTCTAGATGGCTCAGTGGTTAAGAGCACTGACGTTCTTCTAGAAGACCCTGGTTCAATTCCCAGCAGCCACATGGCAGCTCATAACTGTCTGTAACTGCAAAATTCAACACTCCTGTTCAGATACACGTTCAGGCAAAATACCAGCGGACATTCTTCCATTAGAAAAACTCAAACACTGCTCAAGGATACGATGGTATTAAGTTTAGACTGAAGCATTCTTCAGCATTTGCTATTAGCTACATCATTGCCAGGTATACTTTGGTTTCTTTATGTCATCTTGAATTTTAAAACACATTCAGTGCTATAAAGGAACTCAGATGCTCAAACTTAAGATACTCATGAAAATGAATATGCACAAAATTTGTTAATCCTGTTTTCTTTTTTCAGTGCTGGGTGTTGGATCTAGGTTTTTAAGCATGTTAGGCAACTGCTCTGTCATAGAGCAACACCTCAAACTCAACTTTGTTTTGCTTTTCAGTTTATTAGGTATGGTCTTTATGCTTCTCTGTCTTAGAAATTCTCTGAAATATTTGGTTTTCCAAAATATTTGGATTCTCTGGGAACAGAGTTCTGTATTGTGTCATTTAATTACACACATATACACTTATATACAGATTGGAGGACCAGGCAAATTGTAACTTTCTTTCTTTTTTAAAAATACTTTTGGGGCTGGAGAGATGGCTCATTGGTTAAGAGTATTGTGTGCTCTTCCAGAGGTCCTGAGTTCAATTCCCAGTAACCACATGGTGGCTCACAACCATCTACACTAGGATGTGATGCCCTCTTCTGGCATACAGGTTATACATACCGATAGAGCACTCATATATGTAAAATTAAAGAAATATATATCTTCATTGACCCTGGTGGCAGCGGCGGCACCACCACATATCTTTAATCCCAGCACTTGGGAGGGGAGGTAGAGGTAGGCAGATCTCTGTGAGTTTGGGGCTAGCCTGGTCTACAGAGTAATTTCCAGGACAGCCAGAGCTACACAGTGAAACCCTCTTTTGAGAGAAAAAAAAAAAATCAATTAAAAATGACTGCATCTTATTTATTGTTTGTATGTGTGAACAGGTGTGAAGGTCAGATGATAACTTGTGGAAGTTGGTTTTCTCCTTCTACCATATGGATCCCAGTGGATCAACTTGTGCTTTTAATCTTGGTGGCAAGTATTCTCACCCTCTGAGCCATCTTGCCAGCCCGAAGGAATAGCCCAGGCTGGCTTTGAGCTTGTGGTCCTCCTGCCTCTGCTTCTGCCTCCTTAGCTTATCCTACCTATGTGCACTACCACAACTGGCTGAACTTTGTATTGTCTCCATAGTTCTCCATTTTCAGGATGCTGTATAGTTGGTGTCATGGTTTGACTATGAAGTATCTTCTGTAGGCTTATATTTTGAAAACTGGCATTGTTCCTAGCTCCTTTCTGTATCTGCCTGCTTCCTGGTTGTCGTTGGTGGTGGTAGTGGTAGTGGTTGTGTGTGTGTGTGTGTGTGTGTGTGTGTGTGTGTGTTTTGTTGTTTGAGACTGAGTCTCACTGTATAGCCCTGGCTGGCCTGTATCTCTCTGTGTAGACCAGACTGGCCTTGAACTCACAAAGGTTTGCCTGTCTCTGCCTCCCAAGTGCTGTGTCACCATGCCTAGAGGAGGATTGTAAGGTTGGTTTAATTACATTATTTATTTATTGAGTGTATGGGGTGGGCAGGTACATCCTGTGGTACATATATGGAGATCAGAGACAAGCTATAGACGTCCATTCTTTTCTGTCATGTGGTCTCAAATATTGAATTCTGGTGTCAGGCTTGGCAAGCAAGCACTTTTACCTGCTGAGTCATCTTGCTGGTCCCTCATTCTGTTTTCCTTACAGTAACTACGACTTGTTTCCATTTATTCCTTTAGAATAGTTGTGAACAGTTTCATTCTTTACTACACAGAGTATATTAGCTTCCATTGAATAACTCTAGGGAAGTCTTTCATCAAGTCTTACAGTTCCAACACTGTTCAGAAGCCCAAAGTAAAGGAAATCTTAATTGTGAGCCTCTTGTAAAATAAAAAAGCAGAGTTCCTACTTCTAATGTATAATGGAATAAACATTATTCCTAAAGGGTAAATGTATGTATAACAAAAAAGATCAGCCCAAAGAAAGACTGAAACTCAGCAGGGCAGACACCAGATTATGCAGCTCCCTGTCTGGTATTTGAAGCTGTGATGCTCCAGTAGGCTTGGGTAGCATCATTTTTTCCAGATCTGCTGCCTAGGGGATATATGGTCTTTCCAATGAGCCTACATTTCTTGGTGTCTTTAATTTTCCTTGTTGAACTTAACACATTTCCGGCATCACTAGTATCTTAGGTTCTCCATTGCACCTTTGGTTTCCTCTTCACAGATACTTAGGATATCTTAGGATATCTACTTGGGATATTAGTCTACTTAGGATATTAGTCTACTTAGGATATCTCCGCAGGGAATTTGATTGTGCTATAGTTTTCCTGGCCTGTCTTTCTGGAACCTTGGCTTATTAAGCCTCCAAGACCATTTTGGAGACACCAGCTCCCTGACCCTGATGGATCACAGCTCTGGGGGTTATTAACGTCTTGCTTAGGTGAAAGCATATTTCCCTGGAAGGTTATCTGTGTGTCTGTATTCTTAGTTCATGCATTTCCGTTTTCAAATGAATTTATACTTTTACAAGTTGGAGGCCTTGATAAATGGTCTTCAACTCAAGGCATCTTTCCTGTTGTCCCCATAGGAAGTGTGTGGTTTTTCCTTAATGGTGCCAGTCTCATAACAAATATATCTGATTTGTCCATAATACTCTCTTTTTCATTATTTTAAACAGGTTCATGTTCTTTTCCTGACTAAGCTACTCATTTTCTACATCTTTTCCACTTTCTGATTTAAATTCTTGGCATAATCTTTACAAAGTAAGCATACTGAGCAGTAACCTTGCCACAGACTAAATGTATGCTGTCTTGAAATTTCTTCCATCAAACGTAGTTAATTATTTTAAAATTCACCCTCACTAAAAATTTCAAAACACAGGTAGAATGCCTTTGGCTTTTGTCAGAGTGTAGAGTGACTGGCCTCTAGTCTAATTCTCTATAGAGCCCTTATTCTCTGAAGCTGCATGAGCATAGCCTCTACTGCTGATTCTTTTATTAGCACTTTGGTATCAGTGTGTTGCTCACTAACCTCTGCCTCTTAACAGTCTAGGGCTTCCCTAACCCATAGCTCAAAATTCCACTTTCCTCTGGCAAAGCAGTTCTAAGGCCACAGAACAAAGTCAGCGTATTGCAACAACAGCCCTCCCTCTTAATATGGATTTTTTATGAGTTTCTTCCCCCCCCCCTTTTTTTTTAAGCCAGTTTCTCTTTGTAGCTTTGGCTGTCCTGGAACTTACTCTGTAAGTCAGGCTGGCCTGCTTCTGCCCCCCTGAGTTGTGG